AAAAATCCTATTTGATAACGCAGTAATTTGATGCAAATCTGTATCTAAATTTGGCTAACATTATGATATAATTCAAGCTAATTTTACATCTGAGGTTGGAGATACAATATATATTATTGTGACTAGCTTATTTATCCCCTAAATGTCATCTATTAAGAATATGTTTATTCTTATTTTTTTTGTCAATCTGCTAAAAAATTGGTGACTCACCAAAGCAGAATTATTATAAGAAAAAGAAATAAAAAATTTTGCTTTGGTGAGACACTTTGCGATAGGCAAAAAAGAGCTGAGAAGGGCTTCACCTAATAAAACTGAGATACAAATAAATCTTTTAGAAGTAAATACATCGGCAAATATATTATCTGCATTCTAATCTAAGTCAACCTATGACTGCATCTATTTTTGCAATAAGACATTGGATTAATATCCCGATTTATATAAAGAATTTAGTAGTAAAAATTTTAATTATTATGGAATTATCAATAAGAAAATACAGAAGGTAGACAAAAGTTTTTAGACACCTTTATAAATGCAATTTAACAAATTTTTATCATATAATTGTGATACTATACTGCAGTTATATGACTGTCTATTGTTTATTTACACAATCAAAATAAAAAAATTTGTGTTGTTTTTGTTGTTTTGACTTAATTAACTTAATCTCTATCAAATTAAAAAATAATAGAACAAAATAAAGAATTAACTAAAGAATAATATAGAGTCATATTTTACTTAACCAGCCCAATATCCTGATCTTAACCCAATTGAAAATTTATGGGCTGATATTAAAAAAAACATTTGTGCATATAAAAAACTACCATTAAATCTTGCTGACCTCAACTGCTATATTAAAAAAGCATAGTGAAAAATTCCAATGCATACTATTGAAAATTTAGTCAATAGTATGTCACAGTAAATTCAGGCTATGATTACGGCAAAGAGAGACCCAACCAAGTACTAAAGTTTAATATGAAATATATGCCTTAACCAGCTCTAAATAAAATAATATTAGAATTTTTAATATTAATGCTAAAGAATTATAAGTTTTTTATTTAATGAAAATATATCTGAAAACTTTTGTCTACCCTCTATATGTCTATTATGCGAATTAGAGCATAATGAGAAGGAAGTTTAAAAGGTAGATATAAAGCTAAATCTTATTTTATTAAATGTAAACAGTGTGAAATTGAGATAACTGCATAGTCTGATTACTTTGGCCAAAAGTGCATTGTATAACTCTATATTTGCTTACGCTCCATTGTGATATCTTTTTAGTGCTAATTTATATCAACTATTACCTAATTTAAATTGATTTACGATTGTATAAAAAGAAATATAATCAAGTCTGATAAAATATTAACTCTCAAATATTTGAATTAGTATGCTAAATTAAGTAGATTACTAAGCATTTTAATAGATAAGATCCATTTCAGCTTATACAAAAAATATAAAAGAGAAATAGGACTTGAATTATGGCAATTATCAGAAGGTTATCTTTTCATAAATTTGAAATCAAAAAACAAAGTATTTGATTTATCTTTTTCTGAGTAATATGAAGAAAAAGGGCCTATTACCTTCGAAGCTAAACCTAATTTAGAGTTAATTATTAAATCTATATTAAAGCATTTTACATACTGTATTCCTCTAAAAATAAACACTCTTTAAAAATAAGTATCACTTAGATTTATTAGTACCCAAAAATAAGCATCTCCACAATTTATTCAATTAAAATCCAATTATTATTTATTGTTATTTTGATACTCATATATATATTATATAAATTATTGTAAAAAATGTTTATTTCAATAATTTTAAATGCTAACGCCTTAATCATTATTAATGCTATTATTATTATCAATGCTATCATTACTATTACGATCAATATTTATAACATCTAAATTATTATCTTTATTTTCGTCTGCACTCTTATCTATACTTTTATATTCATTTCTATCTTCGCTATCATTTCTATTCTCATCAGATTTGTTTAAAGAATTTGATATCTTACATTTTTTAAAGAACCTGATAATAATTTTGTCTGAAATTACCTTCCAAGAACGTTTGACCCATATGCAAATATTACTTAATTTTGCCTGACGAAGGTTTCTCACAGAAATTGTTTCTGCATTACCCTTGAATATTCAGCTATGTCATTTTCTTCATAGATTTTTTTGAATAGTTTATTGATCGCAATATTGAGTGGTTGGCAAATGCTAGTCAATCCACCTGAAATGATTACCAAATTATATTTATTTTTGCAAAACTTTAATTTTATCAATTCTTCAATATGATCTCTAAATGAATTATACACTAACATTGCTGGAATATTGTTAGTTCTTGCATCATTAAGATAAACTACATACCTTTTTATTAAATCAGCATTCATCTATGCATTTTCCTAAAACTACAATACTATTCCAGAAGGAATTTATTCTCTTCGTGACATTTGTTTTCCTTTAAAAATGCAGATAGGTAGTAATTTAATACTATCTATAAAAATATTATAGTACAATAAAATTTTCCTTGCATTCCTTTTCAGTAAATTCCATAAATCAGTCCTCACCTGCAGCATATATCAAAATCACAGTAAACTGATCCTTCTCGTTATCTATTATTCGAATATGCACAGTTTTTTCACTTTTTGGATTGACTGTAATATTGTCAGCCATGTCAAACTAAACAGGTGTCTCATCTATATTAAAAATTTCACCTATTTCGAAGGATTTTTCTGTTTTAAGGTGAATAACAAATTGTTGAAACTTTTTAATAAATCTTGAGTTTGAATTGGAAATTTTTGAGATATTTTTATATGTCTTTGTAATGCCAGTTTATATTATTTCAAAAATGCAATTAGCTAACGGTGAGACATTTTAAAATCCTTTGATGTATTACCATAAAGAACTAAAATTTCAGATTCTTTCAATATTTCTAATATTTTATATTATATTATTGCATAAATCACTGCAAAAGCCTGCTTTCTTTGTTTTATTATCCAATTATATAGCTTTCTTTCAGCTTCTGAAAAGAAAGCTTTTCGACTAGATCTAATCTGTCTACTATTTTCACTTATTTCACTTGATCAGTTTGTACTTATCTTCATCTAACGTCTAATCATGCTGGCATCAAGTTCAAAATATGCAGTAGCATTATTTTTTTCATGCTTCTTTGTATAATCTACAACCTATGACTTTGAGAAAGAGAGTATAATATTTGCTTTCGTTTAGCAATTTTTTTTGTTTTTTTTGTGGCTTAACCTTTTATTTGCGTTGTGATCATTTTTTTGTGACATTTTTAGATAAATGAAGAAAGACCACTGTATGTTTATGTATGCATATGTAATTCAATTTATTAAATTCGCGTATTGCATAACAAGATGATCAGCAGTCATAAGATTTGGGATCTTCATTTTAGCATTTGACGCAGTTTCTAGATTATTATCTTAGCAAATTTTTTTAGTATCTGAAAATAAGCACTCCTATAGCAAAAAAGAGATGCTTATTTTTAGAGGAATACGGTACTTGAAATTCCAAATAGTTTTATAGGATTGATAATTATAATTTTGTATCTGCTTAGCTATAAAGCTCATCATATTCTATTTGCGATAGAAAGTATGGGAATTATGAATTTCATGGCTCATGGTACTGCAAAAATAGGAATCAGTTCTCTTATGATCCTAAATTAGCAAAGTTGTTATCTTTCTAATGTACATTGGAAAAATATTGTTTTACTTATAACTTTTTAAGTATTAAACTTAAGTTTGCGATCATAGTATAGTCTAGTCATGTGAGAAATGATTATGCAAAAAATTTACTACAGTATATCAACTATACGCAATAAGATTTTCCAGCTCAGAAGAATGTCTGTTAAGTGGGAAAAGAATTTTTTATCTAGCTATATATATAGTATATCATGTCAAACTTTTTGCCTAAAAATCTATGTATAATAACTCACAAATCAAATTTTTTTTTCTTTGCAAAAAATCATTTCCTCATAAGATGATCAGAGTAATGCATCTGATTATATCAAAAAGTTGGAATCTCAATATCTTAATAAGGTATTAGAAGCGCATAGTGATAAAAAATGATAAAAAGTACTCACATTTCAGCTTAGTGATCATAAAATCATATGCAACTGAATCAGATATGTGATCTACTCCTGTATTTGAATTGTAATAATTTTGTTAAGAGTAAAATTTTCTCTTATACAGTATATATCATGTTCGTACATGAGTTTTTTAATCAAAATCTTCTGAGTAGATTATTACTGAATTTTTTAAAGGAATGTAAAGAGAAAGCGTTCAGAAAGAAAATAAATTTATATCTTAAATCCCTTTGAAACATTATTGACTCTGAACTTGAAGGAAAAAGAAAAGTAAGAGCACGCAAATTTCTTGACACGTATGAGATGGCAAGTAATTTTTTTTATTAAAGTGTAAATAGAAAATAAGTAGCGTAGCTGAAATTCTTTTTACTTCTTACCATTCAAAACTTTTCATTGAGTTATAAAACTAATACTGAGACATAGAAGAATCTTCTCACTCACCTGTGTTCAAGTCTTTTGCTAATCTGACAGAATGAGAAATTTGTTATAATAAATTGTAAAAATGTATGCTAGTTGAGAACTAATTCCTAATCTTTCATTATAGGGTGTTGACCAAAAAGTTCTAAAAACTGAGAGAAAATAAAAATAAGTGATATGCTTTCGATTAACGTTCAAAATCCAATAATTTTAGAAAGTAGATCTATCTATAGTAAGATAATTTACGGCAGGATGATTAATTGCAGAATTAATAATATGTTTATTTTAAAAAAAAGAGATCAGAAAAAGGTATATATAAACAGCTAGAAATCGTAATGATTAGTAGAAATAGCTAATATTTTAACGCGAATTTATTTTAATATTATTCTTTATATTTATATAAGATTTAAATAATGAGATTGAAAACTTCTTTCAAAGTTCTTCTAAATAACAATCACCCAATTTGTTTAGGGAAGTAGAATATGACATTTCTAACGAGATGTTCAACGAGAAGGGTAAGGTATAGTATTTATACAAAATGAATTGTTCAGTTATCACTATTCATAACAAATAAAATCAGGAATACATATTCTTTATCTTGCTTTCATTCTTTGTAGATTGTTCATTGGACAGAAAAATATAAGCGAAATAAGTCTCCTTATTGCTTTAATTATGATGCAGAGGTAAACGTGATAAATAAATTAAACTTTGTTATCGCAACAGATAAACAATATTCATTTTTTTTTATTTCATTAGATTAATATCTCTATCTTTAGATCAATCAGATTTTACCTATTTTGCAGAACTAATATTGTATTATCTGAAGATGAATTGTCACCTAATGATAATAATACAAATAAGAAAAATAATGTAGATTATAGAGACAAACAAGATAATACCTCTCCAAAAGTCAATAAGGTTATCTTTTGCATGGCTTATAAGGCTATCCCAGACATTCAAAGTTGCAATTGAGCATAAGCATAATAATGAAGGAAGTTCTCTTTGAATTTGCAAAGAACATGGACTATGAATAGTAAGTTTCTTGAAATTTATATCTTTTCGTTTATGACACTAACATACTATTATTATAAGTCATACCTATTCATATATTGTTAACTTTGATAATGAGGATATCAAAGCGTTATTTAATAAGGAAAAGTGAAAAGAATTAACAAAAGATCGAATTAGAGTTCCACCAGTTCTATATAATATTACAAAAAAACTAATGAAATACAGAAAAAAAACGTTAAAAGAATTACATGCCATAATGATATATATTATACATATATCATATACATATATAATACATATCCCATACATAAAAAATTTTTGATTTTTATACTTAGAACATTATTTTTACTAAAACACTTAGGAACTTAGAGAAGATAATATAAGAACAAGTTAAATTGAGAAAAGAATACTTTCTCTTATAATAAAATCTACCTTAGAAAGTGGTCCAATAAAATTTCTGCCCTAGGACACTCAAAATAATAGCTAAATAATCTACCAGTTTCACAACAGTTTTATAATATTACCATAGCACTATTATGGCATAGAGCTGAATCCTCAAATCACATGTCCTAAAGATCAGTTGAAATTATGATATAGTGTCAGCCAAAATTAATCGCAAATTTACTGTGTCACATATTACCTTTTTTTACACTACCTCAACCTAATTAGAAAGTGGTATCTGATACTCTCTTATAACTTTATGATAATATATATGTGTATTATCTGAAGCTGTCTCTATTTTGGAGTATTATATTAGATGTAAAGCCTCTTCTTAACTCTTTCTTGCCTATCACAAAGTGTCTACTAAAGCAAAATTTCTTATTTCTTTTCCTTATAATAATTCTGCTTTGATGGGTCACCAATTTTTTAGCAGGTTGACAAAAGAAACGGGAATAAACATATTCTTAATAGATGATATTTAGGAGATAAATGAGCCAGTTATAATAATACATATTGCATTTCTAACTTTGAATACAAAATTAGTCTGAATTATGCTATAGTACTAGCCAAATTTAGATATGAATTTATATCAAATTACTATGCCACTAAACAAGATTTTTTTATTACAATTTGACATTTTAACAGGCAATCAAACAAGCATAAAGGGTAAGCATCTTAATATAGAATCTAGCATCCAATCAGGCGTAAGAGGTTAGCATCTCAACATAAAATCAGATATTTAAACAATTACAAAAGGTCAATAACTTCATTATAGAATTTAATATGTAAATAACTCAGAAATAAGAAGAAAAACGTAGTATTTAGATTACAGGATTATATATATATAAAAATTAGATTATATTATGGTAATAAAAATATATTAACATAAAAAACACAAATATCAAGAAAGACTTAAAGATATAGCTAGAACATAAAAGATATATAAAAAAAAAATAATAAAGTGTTAGATTATATATGATATTTAGATCACAACATTTAAATTATATGTGGCAATTAGATCACATTATTTAGATTATATATGATATTCAGATTATATATGATATTTAAATTATATATAATATTATAATCTAAGGTAAGTGGAATATCACATGTAATATAATTTATATTACATATGATATTCTATAGATATAAATTTAATTTATTAATCTGACTACTTAGTAATGTATTTGAAAGTTTATTATCTGATCTAAAAAATCTAATTAAAATTATATAATATTTATAATAAAATAATAATATTATATATAGTATATAAATAGAATATATTTTGTATTTTATAAATATTAATTAAAAAATATAAATATTTTGTAATAAAAAAAAAGAAATTACCAAAA